TCCTACTCGTACACTACCATATCATCGACGCTTTGTCGTAATAAATCCCGAGGTTAACTCTGACCGCATCACGGAATTCCCAGTCCTTAGCTACCCCAGCCGTCTCGGCGATCCTCGGATTCCGACGAAAATGCTCCTGAGCACACTATTGGAAGCAGCCACTCCACTGAATACTCTAACTCGAATCAGCTCCTCCGCGCGCTGCGTGATCCCCTTGGCCTCACACATAGTAACACTTCGACGAACAATCCTTCGAAATACTGCATTCCGTGGTAATAAAAACTCAGAGCAATAGAGAGATCGTAGAAACACTATCGATTCTTGAGCGCTGTAATGGCCTCATCCTTTTCTTTACTCTCTTTTTTATGCTTATTACTCTTCCCGGCTTCTAGAAACGTTGTTTTCAAACAACAGTGTTTTTCAAATAATCTCTGCTGCCGACATAGCCTCAACTCGTTCGGAAGACAAACTCTGGTCGATTGCCAATGGAGCCTCTGCACGTGCTACGCTGAAATGGAGCTGCAGTGCCTCCACGAGATACTCTGCATAAATATTCTTTCCAAAGGGACGCATCAATCGTCTCATGCTATGCTATCGGAGCGACTCATCGAACTATGATAAACGATGATCTGGATTACCTCTCCTCCGTGTTGGTTACCTTAAGCAGAATAGACATACTCTGTAGCGCACGAACACCGCATCTTCAAGGGGGAACTAGGTAGGGCATAGAGGTTACTCGAAAGCCGAGACAAAACCTCGGCGATCGAGACTAAGTAGGATCATCGCTAGCTCATTCTGTCGAACTTAAGAAGTGTGATCATGATCAAGGTTCATGATCCGCAGCTAGACTCTACTGGGATCGGAGCCGTCTTCATGTGACTCACTATGACGCAATACAATGATACGAAACTGCTAAGATTGAATCCGCTTCAAGCGAGAAGACTCTTAGGAAGAAACATTCATCACAAAGTCCCAATGGAGTTGATAGCGAATGGTTGAGACTGAGACCGTAACAGCAACAGTGGGGATATCTTGTAGGACTTGTAGTGGCTCACGTAAGCATCATTCCAGAACTCCGAACGTGTCCGCTGGAGTCGGCATATTATCGTATTC